CCTCGGCTTACCATCTAGCGGAAGGTTTCGGAAGGGTGAAAAAACATATATTTAATACTTGCGCCGGGTATTTAATGTTCGGCTCCGCCCGAACTTAGACTTTCTTACTTGTTTATATTTAGATTTTTGTAAATTTTTACTATTTAATAATTTAATTAACGGAAGCAAAAACTCAACAACTTAAAAAAAAAAAAACAAAAAAGCTTTCATGAATTTCAGAACAACTTTAGTCATCGGAAATTAGATTATTTTTGTAAAAAGAGACAAAACTAATTAATATATTAATTTTCTAGCTCTTGACAGTTTAAAACAGTGGTTCAGATGAATTTATTGAGAAAAATTATAGGTAATTTTTTTGTCAAGAAATGTCAAGCAGTAAATTTAAATGGTTGTAAATCAAAAATATGTAAAAACAACATGCATGTGTTGTATTGTATTGCATTTGCATGAGATTCCTAGCGCTATTTATTTGTATGAAATATGACCAAATAGGAAGGTTACTCATACACCATGGATCGTACGTGTTCATAGACACTCGCGCGTTTTCCTGAAAATTTAACAATTAATCACAAAAAGCGCAAAATATCCGCCGATTTTTATTATCTTTGGCTATAGATTAGTTCGTTATATATTTTTTTTTTAACAGCGGTGGCTAGCAGTGGCGATAATCGGAATACTGTGCTTTACCTAAATATATAATTTTTATTAACTCCAAGGTATATAAAACAGAAAATAATTGTCAACATATTTTGTTGCAGTACTTTTTCCAGGACTTATTAATAATTTAAAGAAATTCAAGAGCTAGATCTGTAGTTTTAGAATTAATTTTCAAATTTTTTCATATTTGGATCTTTAGTTTGTTTTCATGACTCGATATTCTACTCTATACTAAATGAGAACCTAAAAATTTGACCTCAATCTAATGCAAATTTAAGTAAAAGTGACATTCGCTTTTAATCTGATTAAAAAAATTCTGGTCATTTAACTTTATTGTTTGCGAAATGCATTCGATATGAAAAAAATATGTCAACAATATTGGAAATTTGAGCGAAGTTAATGAACGTAAATATGTACATACATACGTAATTTACATGAGAATTATCCCTCTGGGGAAAATCTTTAGTTCTGAACTGGTGCGCTTCTAATCCATTTAGAGCCACTACTGGTCCGCTATAAATAAATCTCTTTTGCATGCAAACAACCGCAACTGGAATTCAACACGGCAATGTTATGAGAAGTGGAAATTGTAAGCCACTGAATTACCTTTTCTATACTTCCGAATCAGTCCCAAATTCGACAGATGGGATCTAGTTCGCTCTGCATTCGTTTTTCTTTAGTTTTCTTTAGAGGCGAATTTTTAATTATTTACAAGGAAATGTCTTCAATCTAATTTCAATGAATGTAATTCAATTTGACCATTTCAGACATTCCAGCAGGTCCCAAAATGTTAACACACAATTGTGTTTTGTATTACCAAACTATGAAAAAGCATCTGCGAAGTGCAGAATGAAAGTGTATATGAAAGAAAAAGCCGCCAAGCAAATATCTATTTAAATTAAACAAGCCCCTCGCTGCATGCCTTTTTCGATAGTTCCGACCCAGATTTCTAATCAAAAGTTGTTTTTTTATTCTTTGGGACTTGATCACGGTTTCTGTAACTATGTATTTTGGACTTACCACTGATCGAAAATGGTTCGATGTATATAATTTTTTAGAAAAAGCAGCAACTTTTTACTGTTAGCGATCTGCAGTTTTAAGAAGCAGAAAAAAATAATTTTTAAAAGTACCACATTTCGCTGCTTTTGAACTGGCTTGGTTCGTTTTTGAAATTTTATTCACCAGTTCGGGGTTTCCCTGCAGGGATTAAACAACGAAAATAATCAAATACATATATAAACATGTACATAAGTATACTTATAAGTATCTGAGCACGCATGTTGCATGAGAGTATGCGTGAATGTTTGCTAGCCCCTCAGTATGTATGTATGGCCCGCCACATGCATTTATACAGCTGCCCGTACCTGTATAAAATATACACAATGAATTGTCACGTCAGCGAAGGTCTTTTATTTAAATTTCTCATAGTATTCACCTTGTTTTCGAAAACATTTGAAAATGTGTGTATGTGCCTATGTGCATCTCCATACATACTTTCATTCGAAGTTATTGTTTTGAAAAGATAATTAAAGCAAATATTCTGCTGTTAAATTGATTGCAATGCACTCTTGTGTACAGTTGCTTACTCAAATTTGCAATATCAATATTTGTATGTATACATATCTACATACATATGTATGTATGTACATAAAACCCAATAAACGATATTATACGCGCTAAGAAAAATTTAAAAGTCTAGCCAAACTGGCAGCATTTAATTGCGTGCATGTATGTATGTCCTGGAATTTTGCAATCAACATTTCGCCAACCTCCCGATGACTTGAAACTTCAAACTTAGCTCATAACCCGTTGACATAATCCGCTAGGGGGCTTATGAGTCGAGACATTTCAAAAAACCATAAAGGTCCGATTTGATTCAAACTTATTTTAAAAATATATTTTTACTATTAATTTATTGTGGTTTAAAAGTATCTAAAAATGAAATGTTATAGAAATAGGGTGGTCCTTTAAATATCAGCATCTGAATTTTGTATCAGCAATTTCAAAACTTTAACCAAAATTTTGGCGGTCGCTACAAGGGTTTGAAAAAATTTAATTAAATAAATAACAAAAATTCCAAAAAATGTTGACTTGAAATCTGATAGAGGAATACCTAATCAAAGTCAAAATTTAGTCGAATTTTTAAGATAAAAAAAATTAAATGTTTTCAAACCCTGATAGCGGCGTGCCAATTTTTTGTATTTTGAAGTTGTCGCTGTTGTCTTTATTTTACGTACAAACCATTTTAAGCACAAGCCTAGTAGTAGATATATACATATGCAAGTATAAGTATAATGCTCAAATTATTTAAAGTAAATCTGGTATTTGAAGGAGTTTTGGAATTAGACAAAATCCTTCCGGAAATTCCCTATTTTATACTTGGCAAAGTTTTGTTAATTGAGAATTTCTCGATGACTCAAAATAGTGTGTAAGTTCTCACATGGAATAGCGCTAGAGAAGCTTTTTTTAACTAAGAGCTGAATCAAGTTTCCCAATAGTAAAACTTAGCCAATATGACAGCTCTGCAATTAATTCTGCTTAACATTGAACTGAACTTAACTGGCTCTAATCTCCTCCTCTGGCATCGTCTTTTGTACTATCTTGGAACATTTGAAGAGTTCTCGGCTTTTGGCCACGATAAGTAGTGAATTTTTGGCTTATTGGGTTGATTGGTTTGCAAATATTATACCGCATGAAATTCGTTTTTTCCCAGTTTGCGATGTCAATGGCTAATTAAAAATTGGGGACAATGCTTATTTGCTTGTACTTGCTAGGAATCAGTTTACACGTTTTTTTTTATCAAAAAGAGAAGGTCGCCATAATTAGAATGTACGTATGTTTACACAAATGGCTATAAAAAAAAAATTAAAATAAAGTTGTTCTACAGTGTGTTGAAAATAACGTCAAGGTTAAACCTTCACATACAACTCAGTTTTAAAAATTTTATTATTTCATTAAGTAATTGTCGAAAATGAATTAACTTATCTCTGTCGAGATCACCGCTAGAAATCAGAAATTAAAGATTTGTTGATGTTTTTTTTTATTAATGCATCACTGGATGATAAAAACTATACTTAAAGTCCTGGAAAAAATCTAAAAACCGTTTATTAATTATCGAAAATGCAAAATAAAAGTGGGTTTCTCATATCTTCGAGTATTCAGTATCGATACTTTTAAAAATCGGGTGCTGTCGATCCTTTTTAGAATCAAGTTCTGAGTACTTTTGGCAGCGATACTGGCCAACAGTAGTTTTATTACTTCGCCTGTTTATAATTTCACCATGCGATGAAACCACCTGCTCTAAGGCGGATTCATTTACGCGCACATACACTAGGCGACAAATGAAAGTATAAACCTTGTTCAAATATAATATTCTAAATTATTGCCACGAAATTTTTTTGTTTGTTAATTATTTATGAAAATATAGTTCACTCTATAATATAAACTATATAAATGCTGACAAAAATTCAAAAAATGTTCATCAATATTTTCAACTTCTTGTTCAGAATTTCAAGAAAATTTTTTTTGGTGACGGATTTTTGCACTTTTTCCATATAAGCATGCAATAAAAGAAAAACCCGCAAAAGCAGTCTCAAAAAAAATTTCAAAAATCGCCGCGATTTTTTAGTCGGTTAAAACTTGCACTTCGTTCGACTAAACTTGAATGAATAAAAATTTGAAATTTTTTTTAATTTTTGTGTACTTCATATAAAGTGTGAAACTTTTTATTTATATAGTATATATTTGCATAAATATAAAGCAAAAGCTCTTCATGAAAATAATTTTGAATATTATACTAGAACAATGTGTACACTTTCATTTGTCGTCTAGTGTAAGTAAAAATCCCATGTATTTTGTTATTGCTTTTTGGTACCTACTTTAGGTTATCAAAACGAAAGAAATTAGGCGATAATTTTCTTCACTTCGTTCGGCTGACATCTTAAAGTACCAAAAAGCAATAACACAAAATCAACTGATCTACTGCTTAACACCACCTTGTATTAATATGCTTTGCTCCTGTTCCTTTTGATTTTCAGACCACTACTTTTTTAGGGCTACATAAAATTAATTTTTTAATGACAATTTATTAAAAAAAAAAACGTTTAACATGTAACCATAACTGAATCTTAATATGGAAATTATACAATTAGATAACGGTGTCCCTGCAGTGCTACATATAGATTTCTGCGGATATAAATAAAATTTTTTTGAATAAACTAAAATTAAAGTAATAAAATCCTTATTTGAATATGACGCTTTTTTCACTTTAAATTATTACATAACATTGGCATAAGTACGTATGTATGTAGATATGTTATACATACATATATACGTTATCGTACCTTGTTTCAAACGCTGTGCTTATCAGATCGGCGGGTAAGCTAATACGCATCTTGGCGCTTTTTTTTGTTTCTGTTTGCTTGCGGTTGCTGCTGCGGTTTATTTAAGTCGATGAAAGTTACTGACGTAGCGATTAATTCGAGTTAATCGCGTTTTATATGCGCTTTGCTTATGGATTTGTGCAGTTAATATCGTTGATTTGCTTTCGTGCTTATACTGCAATATGTATTTTAATGTGTGTTTTTTTTTTAAACTTAATTGTGGAATGATTGCGTGACCTTAATTTGACTTATCAATATAATTTGCCTTTTTATGTTTTTTGCAGCGCAAATGTGTATAGTATAAGTCGATTAGAGTTTTAATTTTTTGCCGATATTATATATTTGTATTTTAAAAGAAATACTTTGCATTCCATTTTCAAGCACATATGTATGTATGTATATCACAGTTTGTTAGCTAGTAGTTGAATTTTCCATTCAAAAGCATTTAAGTTAATTTCATTAAAAGGTTTTACTCCAAAAACACAGTATTTCGTGTAGAATACTTATAAATTTCGAAACATTAATCCTTGCGAAACTAGTTTTCCACAAGTTTTCTGCTGCTGCTGAGCTTTTTTACTGCGTTGCTTTCAAACTTAACTTCACCACTTTCACCTTCGATTTTTATTAGAAAAAATAGCTTTTGAATTAAGTATATTTCGCGCTTACTGAACTGCACGTTGGCAGCTCTCATGGACAACTGATTTTAGCCGCGTTAAGGGTAGATGTTAGTAATGCAAAAACCAGCGAGATCGGCGCTTCGTGCGAAAATTTTAATCACAAGCACGGTAAACCACCTACAAATGCCTATCTACATACATACATATGTACATATGTACATATCTGTACCTATCAGTTTGCTAAGAGTTTTAATTTTTCACTAAACTCGTAAATTCTCATTTTACAGTTACTTTAATTAGATACATAGCGCATCAGATAAGCCATTTAAGTCCTTAGTACGCTTATTTACTTACTTAGATTTTATGATAGGAAAAAAAAATTATTAGCATAAATTCTTTCAGCCACACTTATGTACGTTTGTATACAAAAGCATTTTCAGAGCAATGTGCCACAGATAGTGAGCGCTTATCAGTTTGTGATTACTTATGTATGTATTCTTATCTGCATGTATGTAGATATGTGTGCGTTTGAGTAGTGAATGTTGACAATTCACGTGAGCAGTGAACAGCTGCGGATCTAGTTTAGCGTTTAGTTTTGTTGTTGTTGCTGATAGTGAAGTCTGCAATAGAAGCACAATAAACTCATTACACCCACTTAAAGCTGGGTATTTATGTGCATACAAACAATGTGCATTAGGGTGGCTCTGCTATGGGTTGAAATTTTTATTTTCAGTGCATACCGAAGTCCATGAGACATTAGAACATACTGAGCACGAGTCAGCGAGGATGATTTATCTAGTATGTGCACATACAGTGGTCAACAAAATAATAGCAGTGCGTCATTTTCACCAGTTTCGATTATAACTATTTCTTTCCATTTATATTAATGTTAATTTATTCAAAGTTTGATTAAAATTTCGAACTTTCAATCAGAATTTCTAGAAAACTATCTGGTATGTAGTTTTATAGCCCAATAAATTTTAGAATAGACATGTTCAAATTTGAAGTGTCTAAAAATTCGCTTTGTTTTTTTTTTTTTTTGGCGACGACACTCCACTTTCTCCAAATAAAAAAAGAGCATAAGTACTTTATTTTACAATATAATTTTTATTAATTTTCTAAAACATAATCTTAGTACACCGTCCAGCATTATTTTGCATGCTTGAAGAAATCAAGCATTTTATTCAGATTCAGAAGCCTATGCTGAATCGGTCAATAGAATATTGCCTTTAAACTTTTTTGCAATTTATATTCAAGGATTTGCTGATTACGAATCTGCAATCAGTTTTTAAAAACTTAAAATCACGGATCTAATATGACGGATGAAGTTTTAAAATGGTCAGATTTATATGAAATTTCATATCCAAAAGTTCTTTGAGTCGTTGATTAAAAATCCGAAATAATTTGGCGAATGGATTAAAAAAAAAATCAGAATTTTATGAAATTTGATTTCCAAAGGTTCTATGAGTCGCTTGGGTCGCTGATTAAGTAGTGAGTTTTAAAAACTCGATAAAAAATAATCATTATTTTTAGGTTTTTATTATTCCGACAATTTTTTATCGAAATTTTGTTTAGCCGCGGCGATACAAAATTTCTATTTCAAATGAACGATTATTTTTGATCGAAAAATATCGATAACATTTGACCGATAGATTTACCCATAGCGATATATCGAGCCCTAACCGCCAAAATAACGTAAGCGACATTTTTTCCAAAATTTTGTTTTTGATGCAAATACATGTTGGATAACGAAACTGCAAGGCATCTTTAAGGAAAGGATCATCATATAACCGATGGTGCATTTGCGTTTTAAAAAGAGATGAAACTTGTAAAAATATGCGAAGTGCGGAATGTAGGGGATGAGTATGGAATTAGCCGGAAAAAAAGTAAAAGATATAGATCCTTTTAAAATCATTAAAATCGGGTTTTTTTATTCTTAAATTTATTTTCTACTCAACACCTTCGAGTTTCGACGAACAAGTCAATAATTTCATTGAACATTTGCTCAAAATGCTATTACCGGCTCCATCGTGTGAATCGGAGTTATCTATGTATCTACCAGGCTCGAAGCAAAAACATATTGATTTGTTGTTTTCAGGGTAAGTTAAACGGTTTGCTGTTCTCGCAAGCTGGAGATTTTCCCTAAAAATTTCCATTCACTTCTTATTATCTATGTATGTACATATGTATGTATGTTTGAGCGTTTTGGCTGTGGGGTAATATGTGAAGATAGTCCATTTACATTAACTAGTTCAATGTGGTCTTCGAGCTTTGCGCGTTTCACAACGATTGTAAAATCTACTGACACATCACAAAACTTTTTGAGCAAATTAGAGTCACCCTAATAAATATAATTACATATAAATATGTATGTGCATGCAAATACTACATACCCGCATAAACAGCACAAATGTACTTGTCACGAGTGAGCCAACACTGAATTGTTGTTTTATAGCTGCTATTAAATGCAAATTGTTTGCTTTTTGTTGTTGCCAACTATCACTTCCAATTACAGATGTTATTTATTTTATGAATTCATGTTTGCATTTGTAAATGTTTTTCTTCTCGATTCGCACATACCGGCTAATGTTGTATTTGTATTTATACCGTTGACTGATCGCGCCATAGCGCGTGTGATATCAACAAAGGTCATTAGATTATCATCTGCATTGCTGCTGCTCTTACATGTGTGTACTTTGTTTTTTTTTTTTGCAGCTAAGCGTCATAATTTTCCATGTACATAAATCGTAGTACACTCATTCATTTATTTTTATTGTTTATCTCAGACAATGCCCTCAGTGAACATACGAATATTTAACTAAATAAATATACATATACATGTGCCAAGAATGAAAAGAACTGACGATGAAATTCGGATATCTCCTCCGTTTCCAAGTTTCCATTTCTGGAAGTTTTTGGAATAATGAAGAAATTAATTTTACAATTATGTATGATCTCTAATGCCCTATTTGCACTAAGCTTTTAAATATTTAATACAACTACTGAACCAGTATGGCGTTAAAACGCCAAAATTTAATTAGTCTTTTTAAACTGGTGGCAACCCTCCACCAAAAACCGTAAAAAAAACTCTAAATGTTAGTCCCAGCTACAGGCCAAGCGCATTAAGTGCACAACCCATTTTTGAAATTCGAAAGGACAGTGAAAATCTGATGACTTCATATTTGATAATTCCTAAAAGGTGTGTATAATTTAATTAATTAAGATTTTTAAAAATATTTTCAAACTAAAATCTTCTTCAACCTCATTCGAGTGATAGCCATACTGTGATACATATTTCAATTACCTATGTAATTGCCCTAATTCAATTTGAGTTTTTAAACACGTGGCAACCCTTCTAAATATAGTTCAGAAACCAAGCATTTTCCAATTCATTTCTATTGATACGAATCTTTTAAAAATTATCTTATCTACAAATGTTTAAATCGAAGATTTCTTAACACTCTTTCGTTTGATATGCATATTTCAATAACAATTTCCATTGATACCCATTTTGTAATAATTGATTTAACTTTCATCCAGGATGCCAGACTTCAAAGTATAGCGAGACGTATGGTTATAATTTCACATAAAAATCTGGAAAAAAAATCTGAAATACGTTTTTCTACGATGATCCATTCAAAATCACATGCAACCTAATCGAAATTGTGCTTGAAAGTCGTCACTCCACAATCACTTCACTTTTCCTACCAAGTCACTCCGAAACGCTTCACTTTTTGTCTGTTTTCACTTCGCTCCAAAATTAGCAAACGGCAGCAGTGCAGTATTTCTGTTCAAGTATTTCAGATTTGCAAATATCTTCTTCCACTCAGCCATCGATATGTACTTACATACATACATACGTGTGTATTTTCTATAGCAAACAAGCTTGAAAATTAGTAATAAACCGTAATGAGATTATCAAATAAAATTAATAAATTTGCATTAAACGTAAAATTTTGTTAACAATAGAGCGATAATAAAATTTTCATGCACTAAATTAATTTTCAAAAAGATAAAAACAACTACATATTTTTCTAATAAGCTAGCTCGGCATACAAGTACGTCATTAGACCGTACCACCTTACAAGCAAACAAAAAATAAGTTCGTCATGCACCCCGAGTATAAAGTATTTTTGCAAGGCGATTTCGAAAAAAAAAGTTTTTGACCGACATTTACGGCTCTATTCTGCATCAATGACAAATTCTTGTCACAGTTTTTTTTACGGAAAAATATATGGAAAAGTTGAAATTTGTCAGTAAAAAATATTTGTAACCGATACAGAATTGGGCTATTACATTTACATTTTTCGGTTATATCTTCATTCGGCAAAAAAAAAAAAATGTTTTTAAATAGTTCTAGTGGAATAATCGAAATACTGCCTTAGCAAAAGTTTAATGATTTTTGGAGAGCTTTAATTTTCTGACATTAAGGTGATAAGTTAGGCTGATAATAACTGAGATCTGGTGGGTAAGTACTAAAGCGACGAACTTGAGGTGAACGAATTTAGGGATAAAAACATCGATATATCATACTTAAAGATTTGACGGTAAATGCCGAAGATATTACCGATTTTGTTTTTCGAAATGCTCTTGCAAAAATACTTTAGATGCAGGGCTGTACGACGAACTTTTTTTCTGGTACGGTCTAATGTATGTAAATATGAATGCAGGTATGTTTCACCAATTTTTTGCTAATTCAATAGCTTGTGAGTAATTTGTTACTTTCTAAAATCGTTTTATGTTCATTTTGTATGTATGTATTTAGTTAATCTTTGCACTTGAATTGACTTAATTTTAACACTAATTAAATGTAATTTAATTATTATACAAATTAGCGCTGCTATGTTAAGTCAGTGAGTGAATGCGAGAAAAGTGTGGCACACTTAATTAATGTTTACGCTTTGCGCATACTTAAGGTAAAGTCATGAGAATTGACGTGAGAATTCTGTTTACTGCATGACTAGTTTTCAAATTATGTATCAATTAAGTAACCGTAAGTGTATAAAAAATTTTGTTATCAAAAGTGATCATGTTATCCAAATTTATCGAATTGTCATAATGTATCGAGTTCTTTGAACTCATCGCGCTATAGATACATATTTATTGATTTATCGATTTTTTTGTTTTGTAGTTACCGAAATTTGTCAGTTTATCGAATCGAGAAGTATATCGAGTTATCGAAATTTTTGGGGTTATATAAATTTATCGAGTTATCACTACTTATTGATTTAGCATATTTTATCGGAATAAAAGAATTAATCGAGTTATCGAAATTTTTAAATAGATATCGAAATTTATAGAGCTATAAAAATTATTTGCGTTATCGGAATTTATAGTTATCCAAAGTTTATCGCGTTATCGGGATTTATCGAGGTGATCTCACCGAGAAGTTATCGAGTGATATCGAGTTATCGAAATTTTTCGATAGATATCGAAATTTATGGAGCTATCAAAATTGTTCGAGTTATCGGAATTTATAGTTATGCAAAGCTTATCGCGGTATTGAGATTTATCGAGGTGATCTCATCGTGAACTTATCGAGGGATGAAAACGCAGAGTTATCGAAATTTGTCCAGTTATCAAATTTAATAAAGTTATCGGATCTTAGTGAGTTTTGAAGCACATCGAGCTATTGATATTTATTGAATTATCGAAATTTATCGACTTACTGGAATGTATCGCGTTATCTAAACTTTAGCGCTAGTAAAATATTTAAAATAAAACAAAAAGATATGCAACATTGTAGTCAGGTTTTTCCTAGTTTCAAAGCAGGAGATTTCCCGGTAAGTAATTTTGTACCTTCGAAGGTAATCGACGTGATAAGTTTTAAAACATCTCCAGGGCTCTGAAAAAACTAGGAAATTTCGACAGTAACTGGCATTCCTAGTATTTGCTGCCGCATGGCAGTTTTAACTGGTCATTGCCAGTGTGTCTGCCACGCATAAGTATCAATAACACTTTAAATGAAATAAAAATTTGTATCGTAACAAGTATCGGCAAAGAACTTGTAGCAACTAGCAATGGCAATGACAGTGCCGCTATGATAATTATTATTTTAATTAATACTAATTAACACTGATAATAAAAACGTACATATATAGCACTTGGTCGCTTGTGGATTGAAGTGTCCACTCTTAAAAGTGACAATCAAATATGCATACATTCACACATACGTACATATATGTACATGTTTTGTAGTATACTAAAATAAAAACAAATCTACTCCATTTATCGTTGCAGAAAAAAAGTGCAAATGAGGTTTCTAACGAAATATACGTAGTCTCGACTCCTGTTGAACGCGTCATCGAAGTGAGTGATCGTTCGCCAATAAATCGTTTATTGATTTTTTAACACATATACATATATGTATGTACATTAATACCTATATTGGAACTCATCTGTCTAAATGGAAATGATGGTCATAGTATTTATTTATTCAGATTCTATCTAGTATTCAGGTACGTGTTTATTATATTTCTCTTTTACGGTTCACCGCCACTTAATTTATTTTTTTTTTAGTAACCCCATGAAAAATAAACAAAAATGCGTTCTTTAAACAAAATTTTCAGACACATTGACTTGGAAGATTCGATTCGTATTATACATTACGTCTTTAGAGATCACTGATCGCTTGACCAGTAGGCCAAAAAACAGTTTATTTGTGTGGCTGATTGAGAAGTGGTAATTTGTGATTAGCTATTTTTTTACGCTGCAGATGTACGTTTGAATTATAAATAACTTAACACAAATGTAAATATATGTACATATATGAATATCCGGCAGGAAAAATACTGCGTTTAGTAAATACTCAGTACAAATCTACAGACATATTTGAGACTTTATACTTTAACAGTACTTAATGGAGGTTTTAGTAAATACCAAAGTACTATGCATTTTATGCAGTACATACTGATTATTACAGTATTCGTGTATATATGTAAGTATGTACTTATGTATATACCACAGAGTGTTAAATACTTTAAGTAATGCATTTACTTATTTTCACGCAACTGAATACTAAGCGTACAAGTAACGTTTACCTCAGCGGTCGTCCCGGCACTTCTTGGCCATAGTGATTTATCTCATAAAAAAATCATGTGCTTTTTTTATCACTTAGAAATTTTTGAAAAATTTTGTAAAAGGGGCGTGACACTACCTAGCTATTATCTACACCGTACGACAGTCAATTTTACACACAAAAAAGTCAATATATTCTCGAAACCAAAAATAGTAAAAATACGTTTTTACTTCTTTCTCTGGCCTCAGGATTTTGCTTAAAAGCACTTCGAAAATTTAAAGATATGATTAATTCAAACAAATATTTAAAAAAGTCAATGCAGTGTAGAATAACAAAATAGATATCATATGAAAGGAAAAAATCTTTAGACGATAGATACTGAATCCTTGAATATCATTGAAAATTTAAAAAACGGGGTTTTTGAAAAAAATTTATGTTAAAGACTAATACACGACCCCGACTTTCTGTTTTAATTTTACAGCGCGTGCTCTTTCACTTGGTATCCATATTATTATTCTACATTGCACTGATTTTTTTTTTAAATAATTTTTTGAATTAATCATATTTTTGAAATTTTAAAGTTCTTTTAAAAAATTTCTGATGTCAGAGAGAAGAACTAAAAACGCGTTTTCACTATACATGGCCTCTAGTTTATAGCCCATTAAAATTTAGTAGGATAAAGTGTCAATTTGAAAACGCAGAATTTAAATAATATTTTCGGCTGATGGTGTAGTGCATTTTCTTGCATATAAAAGAAATTGTCGAGCATACATTATATGAAAATTTAATGTGCTATAAAACTGCAAACCCAAAAACTTTTTTTTTATATTGTGAATAAAAAATAAAAAATTTTGGTTGTATTTGGTAAAGTTTGTTGAATTTTTATAATTTTTGTGCAGAGTTGAAAATGTGGATTAATTTGGTGCTGGTTATGTATTTTGCTAGATTTTTATAAAAAAAATTATAAACATTAAATAAACAAAACTGTTCAAAATATCACTTAACTTAACCAGCTGACCACATGTGTACACCTCAGTAAGGGTTCGATCGATTTTTCTGAAAATTGGTACAAACATTGCCATTTATCATTAAAAAAAAACAGTGAATTCGCATAAAAAAAACTCTACTTTCAATAAAAAAACTGTACTTTCAAAAAAAAAAACTGTACTTTCATTAAAAAAAAAACTTCAAAAACGAAGGGATTTTTGGAAAGTTAAGTTTCTTTTAACCGTTACTGCAGCTGACCTCATTTTTCTCAAATGACCGAAAAAAAATTATAATTTATTTTAAGCGACATCTGAACCGCTCAGTAAGAGAACCAAGAAATTTTATATGTTTTGCAATCGTGGCTCATGTAAATAGTATATTCAACCAAAAGCGCCAAGAGGATTCTTTTAAGATTTGTGTATCATTCCCACGCATTAAAGCACTTTTTTTTAAATATAATTCCAGCTCAGCAGCTTAACAGAAATTAGTAGATGATTAAAAAAAATTCAACTAGAAACTAAAATTTTACTATTTTCTTTATAGTGAATGACGTTCAAGAACTCAGCAAGCACTCTTACATTGATATGTATTATGTCTTAAATTTGCCACAAGCACATTCACATGCACACAACAACGGCTATGAGCAACAGCTTTCTCAAACATGGAGTTGAGCTCATTTAGCGAAAAAAAGACGAGACTTAAACCGCACCGCACAAATGTATACGAACAACTAAAGTGCGATCTTAACTGCTAACAATGCGAATAAAATTTTTTAACTTCATAGCAGCAGCAACAAAAAATTCAAGAAAACTGGGCAGCACTCCATTCAAATGAGTAGAGCAGTAAGAAAAAGCAAAAAAAAAAACTNCAGCAACAAAAAATGCAAGAAAACTGGGCAGCACTCCATTCAAATGAGTAGAGCAGTAAGAAAAAGCAAAAAAAAACTCGAAGAAGAAAATGAAAAAAAGAAGCTTGCAAAAGTTACTAACCGAAATGTAAACCTATGGAAAAAAAAAATAAAAAATATTTACATTAATTTCCAACTCGAATGTGAGAACCTAAACGGATATACCCCCATTCATATACATACATATATAAACGCCTATTCATATACATATATGCTTACATACATATAATTTGCAAACGTTGCAAACATTGTCGCAATGGCTGGTAAATAGACTTAATGCAGGTTTAAAAGGAAAAAGCTGGAAAGCTGCAGAAACAGGCGCTACACTTGGAAAGCGAATAAGTCATGTAAATTTAACCGCAAACATACAACAAAAGTGAAGCAACGTCACAGCTCGCCCCGTATATCAGCCAGCTATGTAAGTTAGCCAAGGGCCCAGTTTCAGCCAGCGACCCACACAGCAAAGAAAAACTGAGTACATAGTAGGTAAGTCAATCCTTGCAAACACTCACTGCCAGACAGACAAAATTGACTTTTGTTTTATGAACGCATATAATTACATACAGTTTAAAGGTATTGCATTGCATTTGTTGGGCAGCGGAATTAACAAGTACACACTTACATAGACATATATAAACATATACATAGTTTTTACTTATATCCAGATGTATGCTAGCTTGTACATGGGCCATTCCATAGAAAATTTGCGAAACGGAAATAAGGTCAATTGGCAATAAAGTCAATTGAAATTATTACCTTTTTAAAAGCGAAATAAAATCCGTTGACATTATTGCTCTTTCAAACATTAAATTTGCGTAGTTTCGTGGTGGCCCCTGTCCAGTGGAAAATACTGTCAATTGACGTTATTTCCGTTGATCTGGTTACCTGTCACCAAATTTACACCATTTTGGTGTGAAATATTTTTTTTTACATTCTTTGTCGAAAAAAAGAAGACACCTATTTTTTTATTTCATCATGATATTCGAAAATCTCGAAAACAAAATTTCCGAAATTTTGAACTTGCAAAGAAGTTTTTTAAATTTTTTGCATTCAATAAACTTTTTGTCGGAGAAAGTCAGTTAAGTGAAAAAAAATGTGCGTAATTACCTTGGATTTCCCTTGAAAGTGTGAGAGAAATTAAAAAAAAAAAATTTTTTCGTTCTTAAATATTTTTTAATATTTTTTTTTATGAATTATACATAATTTGATTTTTGTTTTTTTTCTAATCTAAATACAGGCATGCACTGCCAGTGCCAATTTATGTATGTGTATAACTAATAAAAAAAAATATTTAACAATGAAATTTTTCAATGCCAAAAAATATTTATTTAATTCTATCTCACACAGGTATATAATTACGCACATTTTGATTACTTAACTGATTCTCTCCGACAAATAGTTTATTAACTGCAAAAAGTTGAAAAAAGATACTTCTTTGCGAGTTCAAAATTTCTGATTTTTTCGAGATTTTCGAATATCATGATGAATTAAAAAAGATAAAGAGTGTAAAAAAGAATTAGCACACAAAAAAAAGGAGGTGTAAATTTTGTATGGAATGACCCACGTTTTTAACTGTGTTGCAAGGTGGCAGCTACAATGACAACCAATGTAAAAAATTTCAAAATTCAATTGCAAAAGTTCTACAGCAAGTCTATACTCCTACATACATATGTACACATGGAAGGAAAGCAAAGCGAAACGCAATCAGAGCAAGAGCAGGAAAAAATATAGCACGGTAAGGGTATAAAATTTCATTAAAGATAAGACGGTCATTGATGTAGAATAATTGCAACCCCAGCCCCATGGCTAGGTGAAAGGTGTGGATATACAAATATTTTGTTGTTGCTATTTTAATGTTTGTTTAATAAGTCTCCGCAAACAATTTGAAGCTGTCATGTGTTATCAAATAAAATTTGACATTTTTCGTGAATTCATTAACCTCATTGTAGTACATACATACATACATACTGATGCAAGTCATTGTTGTGGGTGGGTTGCGTGCGCATTTGGTTTACATATTTACGTACTTAATGAACTTTTTACGTTCCTGAGTTTTCCCACAAAACTTTGCAAGAAATATAAAGTCAATGCCTGGTCTAAGAATTTGATATTTGCATTTTTAATTTATTTGTAGAGTATCCAGTTGTGCTCAAAGGCTATTCGGGTTGCTAGATCGGGCACGCGCCCAGTGCTTTCCTTCCATATAGGGGTAAAAATCGACCTATGGACGGATTTGAATGAAAATTTGTTTTTTTTTTTTTGATAACTTTCATACTTTCTCTGTAAAAGGAGTTTGAAGTGGAAAATTTGTTTTCTACTGTGTGTGAATGGTGTTTTGTTTTTAATATTTACAATGTTTTTCAATCTAAAATTTTTGTTAAAATTTAAAAAATCGCATTGATTTTTAATAATTTTTTTTCTTAATGGCGTTTTGCAATTTTTTCCATATAAACATGAATTTCTTGTGGCAGAATATGCGCAAGACGGTTTGCGAAAAAAATAAAAAGGTCAGCGCCAGTTTTACTAAACTTCGCTATTTATATGAAAAAAAGCCGTCAGCAAAAGAAAATTATTAAAAATCAATGCGATTTTATAGCCGCTCAAAACTTGCACTCGTTTTATTAGAACTTTATAAGCTTGTTAACTGCATACCCAAAAAATTTCTAAAAATTCACTTCTGGTCAAAATTTAGATACAATTTTTTGAAATTTTTCTAAGTTCTGTATAAAGTTTGAAAGTGTGATTTATATAGTTTTTTCTTAAAGCATTTTTATAAAAAAGAAATGACAAAAAAAATGTATAGCTCGAAAAACATTGTAAATATTAAAAACTAAACAGCATTCATTTATTTTTGACCGCCACTGTATAAATGCATTTACATATAATTATTATTTTTTAAACATATGTGTATGTATGTATATATATTGAAGTTATAACCGATTAATCGATTTGGCTGAGTTCAAAATGGCATGCAAGTCGTTTCTTCTTCTCGCTTCTTCTTCTGACGCCAATTCGAAAGACAGAGTGAAGATAAGGCCCTCTTTACCTAATCTTTTCAATGCAAAAGAGGTCCGCCTTCGCCGTCCTCTATCAACCACTGTACGACCAAAATTTAGACTAAGTTAATACAATAAAATGTGAATTTATTTGCTTTAATTAGATGTAGTATCTGACACTAAACGTGATTTGTTTGTCTACAGCTTAGGGTATGCAATTAAAATTAAAGTCCCAGACATTTCTATAATCAGCACACCTTTTTTTTTAAGTATATAAACACTAAGCAGACTGTCGGCCAAATTGGTCTAACAATAAATGTTATACAATAATGTTATACATATGTACAAAAATGCTCGTTGCAAAATTAACTCAACCAGGTTCGTGATTTTACCAAACCCATCTCGTTTGTTCAAACTGAATATGACGATATCTCATTCAAGTATAAATGTACATATTTATACTATGTATGTACATAGTATATAAATTTGTATATATGTAAATATTCACGTTTTCTAAGCTTTATTTCGGGAATATTTTTTCTTACTATACAAATAACATGCTTTTCTTCTATTTAAGCGCTTTGTACGTGATTCAATTCCAGTTTGCTTTTTTTTTTGTTGAAAACTTATTAACGCACCATTCTAGTTAAACATAAAAACATATGCTAGACATAAATAAACACAAATGTTCGTGGTGACGTCTTGTATGGCGTGAGACAATGCATTAGTCATTTTGATCTCAACACCAGATAACACCTATGCAAAACGAGACACATATACATATGCAATTTTTTCCAAAAAATCCAAAATTTTGTACCCCCAAGTATGATAGACATTTTGTTTTATTATATATATTTGTATATATATTAGGGTGGTCCAAAAATGCATGTGAAAAAGTAAAGTCGGAATTTTTATGCACTCACCCCCTAGAATAGTTCTGTACCGAAAATAAGTATACCCTTATTTGTTTATTTTGAAATCAAAATAACGCTCAAAGCGCTCCGTAGATCCGGCCCTGCCTACCCAACTACGAAGCTAAAAGTGAAACATTTTTTGTTTCTATTTCTACGTGCTTACGTACACTCGATGGGCTGTCAGTGATGGATATTACAATGATTGTTTGTTTAATTTGTTAAAGTGGGCTCCTATCTAAGATTTAGTCATATAACTGAGATAATCAATCTAACAGCTTGCATCTTGTAAAATGTCATACTTTATTTCGATTTCAACAGAAGTGAAAGACGTTTGATAAATTTTCTACACTGATTGAAAAATTCACCATAGAGCCTTAGATGACTTGGTTAACCAGCATCTACAGTGATTACTATAAATACCCGAAATTCCTACAGCTAGATAATTTCGAACTATTATATGTGTGTATGAAGCATGTACAAAGTTATCGTAGTCTGCTTCGGTGTTAACCTTGGCTGTTAAAATATATACAATTTTCTTAAAGCCATCATACATATCTAGCTGGAAGAGAGTTGGATAGAATTTCCAAGCACACTGCTTACTAATATGGCTCTGCAACTAAAATAAGAGCAACCAACTTGTTTTTTTTTGTAATGATTTTAAACCAGCAAAAGACTTTATACTATATACGAGAGACTTGAAGACCAAGACCTGTCAACACAGGTGCATTTTGGTGATTACTATTGTTTCACAGTTGGTTGACCTTCGAAGAACACAATTAAAAAATACTCACTATTTTGCGGTTAACTTTTCAGTTGTTGCTCAGAGTAGACTAACCGCAGAAATTTTAGACCCAATTAAAAAGAAATCCAAACAAAAAACTGCATAAAATTAATTTGTGTAAAAACGAATTTCCCTTTGTGGGGTTTCTTTTTGTTTATTTACTTAAATATATTTCATAATTGCTGTGCGTTCAAAGAGAATAAATATGAAATAAGTAGAAATAATATTGAAATTTTTATAAAG